TTTTTTTTTTTTTTTTTGGCACATTTTGTTTGCTGCTCTATCCTTGGTGCCAGAATAACACTTGGCATGTAGAAGATGCTTATTCATGCCTGAATAAATGAAATGCCAGGGGTCTTGGAGGTGATACTGACAAAATCTTCACAGTTTATAGATAAGGAATTAAAGACTCAGAAAGATGGAAAAATTTCTTAAATATTTGCTCAAAGGCAATTCAGGACTCATTTTAAAAAATATTTATTTTTAATTGACAAAAATGTATATATTTCTGGGGTATCCTGTAATGTTTTATCCATGTATACATTGTGTTCAGGTCAGGGTAAGTATATGTACCTCCTCAAACACATAATTTGTGATTTTAAAGCATTGAAAATCCTTCTGGCTTTTTTTTTTTTGAAATATACAGTACTTGTGGTTACCAATAGTTACTCACTGTGCATCCTTGCTGCTCCTACCTAACTGTAACTTAGTACCCTTTGATCAACTTTGCCCTATCCCTCCCTCCCCACTACTCTTTCTGGCCTCTGTTAGCCCTTATTCTATTCATAACTTCTCTGAGATTAACTTTTTTTAGATTCCATATGAATGAAATTGTGCAATCTTAATATTTATATGGAATTGTTAAAAAAAACCTAATAGCAAAAACAATCCTGAATAAGAACAGAGTAGGAAGCATTACACTATCTGACTTCAAAATATATGACAAAGCTAAAATAAGCAAAGCAGCATAGTGTTATAATAAAAACAGACCAAATGGGAACAGAATAAAGAGCCTAGTCATCAACCCACACATCTACAGCCAACTGATTCTTGACAAAGCTGCCAAATACGTATTATAAAAAGTACAGTCTTTCAATAAGCTAGGAAAATGGAAACTTGACCCTTACCTTTCACCCTGTATAAAAATCAACTCAAAGGGATTTAATACTCAAATAATTTAAGATTGGGACTTCATTTGACTAACCCATAGCTGTCATGATGAAATAGGGAACTCCTATATATGTTTCAGGGGATGCTACCCTATGATGGCTTTACCCTTTGGTCTTGCACAGCCCTGAAAGACAGTCCCTCAAGATTAGGCTCTCTCTCTTTTTTTAAAGAGAGAGAAAAGAGAGAGAGAGAGAGAGAGAGAGAGAGAGAATTTTTTAATATTTATTTTTCAGTTTTCGGTGGACACAACATCTCTATTTTATTTTATGTGGTGCTGAGGATCGAACCCAGCGTCCCACACATGCCAGGCAAGCAGCACGTTACCGCTTGAGCCACATCCCCAGCCCAAGATTAGGTTCTCTTTACTCATGGCCAACATACCCCAGCCCCTTTCCACCAGATTTCCAGGCCTTAGTAAAAATGGGGATAAAGTTACCAATCCCACTGGGTTGTCATATGGCAGAGAGAATTATGTGAAGCATATTTGTAGCCGGTGGCTTTATATCAGGCTTCCCCAAAGTATCACAACACCCTAAGTGTCAAGAGCCATACATGGGTTATATATGGAATATCAGCATCACAACCAGTGAGGGGATGGGTCTGGCACTGGAATGTCCCATGGCACCCCCACAGGGATAGACTGCCTGGTGCAAGTGAACTTTCCCCTCAGCTCTGCCAAAGGTCCCACTTAGCACTGGAGATGGGGTGACCCGCTGTAGCCGCGCAGCCCCTCTGAGGTAGGTGTGAACTGCCAAGATGCCAATCAACCTGCTGACTGTAAGATATCAAGAAGCAAGACTCCACCCCCTGAAACCTTATCCCTCCCTTTGATGTGCTCCCCTTAAGTCAACAATGGGGCACATTTTATAATTATCTAGCTCCTGCTCCTTTGTGGACTGGACCTATCAGGGGCTTTACCTTTTTGAAACTGTCTTTCTGACATTGTCTTTTGTCCTTCACCAATTATTCTAGACTTTAATTTCTTAGGTGGTTTATATGGCAGGAAGAAAAACCCCCTAATGAAGGGCTGCCCCTTCCCCATACCCAAGGGCTGGTCCATTAGAGGTTGGAAGGTGCACCTCTTACACTGATTGGAGATGAATACTATGCCATTTTATAGAAGGAGTTAGCATCCAAGTATCTATGGGGTTCTGGGACTCATCCCCCAAGGACAGTGAGCACTGACTGAATATGTTCATCTTATATTTATATGTGTAATTATTTTCTTAGTGGAGGACCAACATGCTCAACTTCTCAGAACAACTTGCTCTAGGTTTCCTCTCAACTGAGAAGGACAAGCATATTTTAAATTCACCATGTGAGACCCTGCCATCTCCATCTGATTTGCTGTTGCCTCTCTTTTCAATTAGCAGCTCTTATAAACATTTAGCTTCCCAATTCTATCACCCCTCAATGCCATACCCTCTCTCACTGACAGAAACATTTTAATATTTCTGGTTGCTTTAATAGTACCACAGTCTCTGTTCCATAGGCTGTGATTAGTGTGGGTTTTTTTTCCCCATTTTTGAGGATTGAACCTGGGGCCTCACACATGGTAGGCACGTGCAGTCTACCACTAAGTTACATCCCCAGCCCAAGGAATTTTGTTTTTATACTAGCAAATTAGCAATACCACACATTAAGAGGAAAGTTGATATTCAACCTTACAACTTTTGTCCTGTGTATATACAATTATAATGTGCACTATGATGATGGCTTCATCTCCAATCTCTCTTGCCAAGGAGGGTATAAGCCACCTAAGAAATTAAAGTCTGGAATAATTCGTGAAGAAAAAAAGACAATGTCAGAAAGACAGTTTCAAAAAAGGCGGAGCCCCTTATAGGTCCAGTCCACACAGGAGCCAAAAAATCAGTTCATACTTTACTGTGTGTTTGAGAGATCAAGAAACGGTGGGAATCAAGAAACAATAAATACCATCAATTTCAGTATTTGCTTCAGTGCTTCACTCTAAATAGCTAGAAAAGAGATGCATCTTTTGGTTTGCTGCCTAGAGGGAGGAATAGTTACACAAATCAGCACTATCGCTAACTACAAGGCAAGAACCCTACATTACTAAGGGAATTGACTTGGAGTCTTTAAAAGCTGGTAATTGCTGTCAGGACTTTAGATATCTATCGGGTTCTTGCATGTGCACAGGGTGAGAAGGCAGGAGCACTGGTGCCAGGAAATGTAGAAGTGATCTCTGGCCCTGCCTGCCTCCATTCTGAATTATCAATATTGGGCATCTTGGCTCTATGCCCAAAAGGGTACTCAGCACTATAGGTAAAAACCATTCAGCAAACCATTATCTACACTGTGATAATTTCAGTCCAAATGGGAGAGTAGGGTGCAAACAGTTACTCAGCAACAGGCAAAACTTAAAATCAGTTAATATCCACTCTGTGGTTACCAGCGGAGCACAAAATCTTCAGAGCCAGCTGGCTCACATCTAGAAATATAAAGAGGCATCTGGCTCATGTAGAAATATCGGGAAAAATTTCAATGAAGAAAAAGAACAGTGAGAGGAAATGGGGAAAGGATGTTCCAATTATAAAGAACAGCACAGGCAAGTTTCCAAGTATTTGCCCTATTTTAGCTGTGAATGTCTCCTCAATTTCCTGAATCCTTGGTCACCCTCATTCCTGGTGGTTTGGAAATATCCGCACAATGTGCTTGCCATTCATCACCCAGGCCGTGCATTCCTGTTTTCCCCACATTGTAATTTCTTCCCAGTTTCTTACTGAGACATGGTGTCCCCACATATTACCTCTTGACCCCAGAAGTCTGTTATTCTAGTCTTCCTAGGGGTGTTGTACAATCAGGGAAACACCTAGGTTCTCAGCTCAGAGAGACTGTAAGAGTGTTTCAGAAGAGAGAAATATCATCACAGTGTTCTTTTCTATGACTGATTACGGTCATACAACCAGAACATGTGGCTTGCTTCTCCCCTCCTGCCTGCTGGCAGTTGGAGAAGGCACAGCTTCTCCCCCTGCTTAGCTCAGTGAATCCCACACTGGAGGTTCTGACTTTCCATACACCTGACCAAGAGACAGTTGTTTTAACAGTCAAGATCAGCCCAGGACCTCCCCATAAGGTTCACATTTGGTTGACAAACATTTCAGTAAGTTGTGGTTTTTGTTCAGACTTGATTGACCAGTCTGAAATGACTTGATTTCCTGGTAATTGGAATAAAAATCATTAGTTACCTAGTTTATTTTGCACAATAAGGTTACCTGTCAAACTGTATGCAGATTTCGCTTGAGTCTTGCACCTTCACAAATACCCTTGAGGTACACACCCAATAGCACTCTTACTGGCTCAGGAAGTTTTCAAATCTGTTAATTGTAGGATTCTGAAATGCATATTTCAAAACTTTCAGATAGCTCTAATTTAGAGCCTTTGACTGTTTATTTATTTTTGTAGTTGTAGATGGACATCATGCCTTTATTTTTATGTGGTGCAGAGGATTGAATCCAGTGCCTCATGCGAGGCAAGCACTCTGCCCCAGAGCTCCAGCTCCAGCCAGAGCTTTTGACTTTGACTCAATCTTCAAGACCTACATGTGAGGTGATTCCAGAGGGATCACCTTTACCTGTGGGTGGCCTCAGGTGACTGAAGCCAACTCCACTTAAGTGCAAAAGTCTCCACCCATCTGATTACATGACATATGTAGTGAACACTTTTCCTTTGGATTGCAAAACCTCCAAACCTCCAAACAGGCTTAACCCGTATGATCAGACAATGGCCAGAGAAGGAGCACTGCCTGCGCCTACTCTAGCCACAGCTCCTACATCAAGAAATCCACTCTGGTGCTTAGCATACACAGCTTAAAAACCACTCTAAGCCAAGCCACATAGTTTTGGTATGTTAACTTCAAAGTCCTACTAGTTGAATCCACAGTTCAAATATATAGAAACCCCCAGTCTAGAGTCCCAACTCTGGACTACTACGGACTGAAGACACAGCTAGGAGGCCGCGGATGGGTGCTGCCCTGCGCCAAGAAGCTCAGAGCCAGTCTGCGCTGCGTCAAGGTCCCCTGGACGTTTCCACGGGGAAGCTGCGGCTGCAGCCTGTTAAAGACAGCCAAGTCCAGTTCACGATGAATGCACAGAAAAGTAAGACGGTGGAGTCAGGCGTGCTTACCTCCTTTTATAAGCAACTAGCGGACCAGATTGAAATCCACCCTCACGAGGTCCGATCGCCGGCCCAACTGCACCCTTGGTATTTAGCGCCCTCCCTGGAGGGCGCGGGCATTGCAGCGCTTTTTCGTTGACAAAAAAAAAAAAAAAAAAAAAAAAAAAAAACCAACAAACCAAAACAAAACAAAACTGGGAAACCTGCGGCCCTCGCTGGGTTTGTTCACACCGACCCTCATCTTCTCCGAGGGTTTCTGAACTGCAGTCCCTTTTCTGACCTTTCTTGCAAGCTTGCCGGGAAGACTTGGTGAGCCTTTTTGAAGGCAAACGCTCCCGTGTTTTCAACGGTAGCTGCCCCTTGCTGAGTTTGTGCCCATGCCTGGAGACTTTCTAAAGTCCTCAAAGATGTTATTAATACCAAATTGCCCATTTTATGTTTCTGGGGAAAACCTGGATAATTGTTTTTGAGAATGAAAATGACATAACCATCAGCATAGTGTAGTTTCACTCTTTTTATTAACGTAGATGATACTCTTCCTCCTGTCACACACATCTTTCATTAACCCAGAGGTTTCTAAAGCTCCACCAGGATTTGGGCAGGCAACTGGACCAACCTGCATTTCTTACAGGTGCACTTTCCAGGCTAGCACCAGCACGACCCTTTCACTCATGAACAGCTCTTAGCTCCCAAGAATGCAAGAGCCAAGTGCCATGGCCCGCTTCAGAATCCTGTGAAATGGACTACAGTAGTCATGGGGACACACCCTCAACATCTGAGGGGCGAGAAATCAGAGGACTCTTCAGAATGAGTGCCTGCTAAGGTGTGGTGGGTTGATGTGCCTGTTGAAGATAAAGTCACACACAGAAGTGGTCAGGACAGAATTTCATAAGGAACATACTATTGCCGTGGTAAAGAGTCACATGTGAACTGGACTCGACTTGGGTGTGTACAGATCTCACTGGATATTTTAACCCAGAATGAGAGAATGGGAGGGGGCCAGGAAGGCTCCACAGAGACAGGGAAGTGAAATGTTGCCAGAAGCAAAAAGGGGAGGGGAGTCCTCTGGACCCCCTCTGGCTTGCTTGCTGGCAGTTACTGATGTAATCCCCTACCCTCCCAGGCCTGCTGTGGTTAATTTTTTGTGTCAACTTGTCTGGAGGCTGGGTACCCAGCCAGCTAGTGAAGCACTATTGCTGG